ATGGCTCCTCCGCGACCAAAGCATGCGGGGGAGGGGTAGTCCTCATTACTCCCGAGGGCTTCAGGGCCTACTATGCATTCCGCTTCTCCTTCAAAGTCTCCAACAATGAGGCCGAATATGAGGCCCTCCTATGTGGCCTTCGGCTGGCTGCCAACATGAGGGCTCGGCAGATCCACATCAAATGCGACTCCAAGTTGGTCGTTGGCCAAATCTCCGAAGAATATGAGGCCAAGGAGGGAAGAATGAAACAGTACAAGGAAGCGGCCAAGGAGTTGCTTAAGGTATTTGAGGCACACTCTCTTACTCAAATACCGAGGGCTCAGAACTCCGAGGCCGACATATTGTCTAAACTCTCGGCTGACTCCCCCGAGCACATCTCCAAAATTGCCAAAATTGAGGAACTCAGCCTCTCAAGCATCCATGCGAGCCCCGTTATGAACATACAACAACGACAGGAGGATTGGATCTCAGATATCACCGCCTTCATCTCCACAGGGCAGCTACCCGAGGATGAGGCCCGCGCTAAACTGGCAAAACTGAGGGCTCCCAGCTACACCATCGAAGATGGGAGGCTCTACAAACGATCTTACAATGGCACGCTACTTCGGTGCCTTCATCCAGATGAAGCCGAGGTCGCAATGGAGGAAGTGCACAGTGGCACTTGCTCAGCTCCCCAGGGACCCTTCTCCATGTCCCGAAGGCTCATTCTCCAGGGCTACTTCTGGCCAACCATGGCCAGGGACTGTGCTGACCTTGCCCGGAGGTGCACCGCATGCCAACATTTCCAGAAAGCTCCCGGCAGACCAGCGGTCAACTATTCCCCCATCAGCACCTCTGTCCCGTTTTCCCGATGGGGGATAGACCTTGTGGGCCCCCTTCCGAGGGGTACCTCCAACAACAGATACATCATTGTGGCCGTCGACTATTTTACCAAGTGGGTGGAGGCTGAACCCCTCGCCAGCATCACAGAGGCAAAGTGCCGTCACTTCCTCCTCAAGAACATCCTCACAAGGTTTGGCGTCCCCCAGCAGATCATCTCCGACAATGGGACACAATTTGAGGCAGCCCCCTTCTGTGCCCTTCTGGAGGCATGGGGCATCAAACACACCTTCTCCTCCGTTGCCTACCCTCAAGGCAACGGGCAAGTAGAGAATGCCAACCGGACCTTGCTCGAGGGCCTCAAAAAGAAGCTAGAGGCCGAGGGCGGTGGCTGGGTGGAAGAACTCCACAACATCCTTTGGGCCTACCGCACCACCCCTCGGCGAGCTACAGGTGAAACACCCTTCTCCCTCTGCTACGGTTTTGAAGCCAAAGCTCCTACGGAAGTCACCATTCCTACCCAAAGGGTGATCCAATACGACCCCGAGGTCAACGACAACAACATGGCCCTCGACCTCCACCTCATTTCAGAACGCCGGGAGCAGGCCTTCATCCGAGCAGAAAACTACCGAAGGCAAGTTAAATGCTACATCGACGCCAAAGTTCGCACCCGAGAATTTCAAGTGGGGGACTATGTCCTCCGGAAGAGGGAAGCCAGCCAACCAACCGAAGGAGGAAAAATGGCACCAAAATTCGAAGGCCCCTACATCATAGCAGCCATCATCAAACCCGGGACCTAAAGGCTCAAACGCCCCAATGGGAAAGAAGTCCCTAGGCACTGGAATGTACACCATTTAGTTAAATTTTATCAATAATGTAAGAGCGGCCAAGCCCTCATAACTAGTGAATGTACTATCCTATGGCCCAAGGCCTCCAATCTCGAAGAATGAAGATACATGCAAGACATCAAGCCCTCATACTGACTACAGGCCCCCGACCTCAGTGCCGAGGGAGGGAACTCCTATCACCAACAACAAAGAACGCCATATAATCTCCCTTCGGCACCAAGTGCCGAGGGTACATCCCCCCTTCAACACCAAAAAAGAAAAGATGAGAACACCAAGTGTTCCTACAGAAAACCCTTCGGCACCCAGTACACCTCGGTACCAAGTGCCAGGGATATACTCTCCTATCAACTTCCAAACATCTGTTGGGAAACACCAAGTGTTTCAATTGAAGACCCTTCGGTACCAAGTACCGAGGGTAGACGCCTACATCAACTACAACAAAGAGAACACCAAGTGTTCCCACAGAAGACCCCTCGGTACCAAGTACCGGGGGCTACACATCGAAACTAACACCAAGTGTTGTTTCTAAAAGCCGTACCCCACGAGGACGCATATACCGAAGGCGCCACCATCGGTGCCGGCGGCACGTAGTGCCCCCGGCCATTTGCAACTAGTGTGCAAATGAAAACCCTTCCTTGAAACGCTTTCCGCGTCACTACCCCCAGGGTATGACAGGCATGAGAAATGCCCAGGATTCGACTTTCAAAAACGGAACGCTATCCGCGTCATTACCCCCAGGGTATGACAGGCATGAGAAATGCCCAGGATTCGACTTCCAAACCGAAACGCTCCCCGCGCCACCACCCCAAGGGTGTGACAGGCCACAGACTATGTCTAGCGCCGAGGGGACGACTTTCAATAATGAGGCGCTTTCCGCGCCATCCCCCAAGGGGAGGCAGGTTACGGACCACCATATCTTGTGCCCAGGAAACGTCCCTCGATCCCCTCGGCACTCGGAAGGTTAACCCGAGGGAGGAGAGCCATTGGTGTATTCTGATGGTCTCCTAATAGGCCCAGCCTTACCAAGAAACCAAGTTTCTTGATGCCTTCCCTTCACCACCACCCAAAAAAAAAAAGGGGGGGGGGGTGAAGGGGAGTAGACTCAGCGAGAAATCAAAGAGTACACTCCAACAAAATTACAACATGCCGAGGGCTCCTCACGGGAACACCTCCGGTAATTGAAGACTCCTATTTCCCGAAGGATACTACTCAAAGAAATATCATCAGGAAACGGCTAAGTCCACTACCTGGTCACCTCCGATCACAAAAAACCGAAGGCTTCAACAATACAAAGGGACTGGACTGTCCAAGGTCCACTAAACAGTACTTCAAACAAACACCGAAGGCATCTGTTATGCACAAATACCGAGGGCCCTTTCCCCATGACAAGGGTCAAATTCTACAACTTTTAAAGTGTATGCCGAGGGCACACACTCTTCATTGGCTTTCTTCACAACAACAGGATTCAACATCAATTTATGCTTAGAAAAATTCTAAGTCCTGAAGGAGCAGCCCCCGGGCACCCGAAGGCTACACAGAGAAGCAGCACTTGAAAAAATTCTAAGTCCTAAAGATTGGGCCCCCGGCCCAATCAATATTACAACCAAGGGAATATGGTGGCCGAAGGCCATGCAATACAACAACACTTAAAAAAAAATGTATTCTGTCCTGAATGAGTAGCCCCCGGGCATCTCGCAAAGTGATGTGGAATCAGAGGGCACCAATCACCCGAAGGCACCCAAGGGAAAATTCCACACTTAGAATATTTTCTGAGTCCTACATGTTTTTCCCCGGTCAACTACTCATACATCAAGAAGGGATGCCATCTCCCGAAGGCTCCCAAGGGAAATTTACACTTAGAAGATTTTCTAAGTCCTACATGTTTTCCTCCCCGGCCAACTACTCATACATCAAGGAGGGATGCCATCTCCCGAAGGCTCCCAAGGGAAATTTACACTTAGAAGATTTTCTAAGTCCTACATGTTTCCCCCCCGGCCAACTACTCATACATCAAGGAGGGACGCCATCTCCCGAAGGCTCCCAAGGGAAAATCCACACTTAGAATATTTTCTAAGTTCTACATGTTTTTCCCGGTCAACTACTCATACACCAAGGAGGGATGCCATCTCCCGAAGGCTCCCAAGGGAGATTTACACTTAGAATATTCTCTAAGTCCTACATATTTCCCCCCCCCCCGGACAGCTACTCATACATCATGAAGGGATGCCAACTCCCGAAGGCTCCCAAGGGAAACTTTACACTTGGAAGATTTTCTAAGTCCTACATATTTCGCCCTCATCTCGAGGGACCTAATTGCCGAAGGCTAACTATCAATCGAGGGCTACGGTTCACAAGGAATCAACACTCAAGAAAATCTTCTAAGTCCTAAAGACTTAGCCCCCGGCCTATTCAATATTACAGGTGGGGCTCCACATGACATACTCACTTGCAAAAATCTCTAAATCCTGTGCATTGGGCCCTCGGCCCAACATTCACACATCAGGAAGGGAGGCCATATCCCGAAGGCTCTCAAGGGGAAATCTACATTTAGAAATTTTTCTAAGTCCTAGGACTTGGATTACTGCAAACACCCGAAGGCCCTAATGTGTGCTACACTTAGAAAAATTTTCTAAGTCCTAATTGCTGCTGGACCCTCGATTGCATATCCAGCAGAGGGTGCCCAACTACCGAAGGCTCCTAAGGGCTAGCTACAATCAGATAGTATTCTAAGTCCTAAGACATACATTCAAAGAAACAAACACATACATTCAAAAATACCGAAGGCATACACTCAAGGAAAACGGAGGCATACATTCAAGAAGAATGGAATTGAAGGGAACAAGTCATATAAACACAGCCCGAGGGCAATCATGCATTCATCAAAAACAAAGTAAGTGTGAGATTTACAAACGGGCCGAAGCCGAAGGAACAATGTTGTTCATTACAAAACATGTTCAAAGATCTCTAAGTACAAAGTCATTCTACAACTACAACAGCATCGTTCACTGGGGCGCCCTCTACAGCCGGCCTCGATGAGGCCTCCGCTCCGGTCTCGACAGCGTCGTCCTCGGCCTCATTCTTCAACACCGTGTCCTCAAGGGAGGAAGGCCATACGCCGAGGGGGAGAAGTCCTTTTGCTCAATGCCCAGATGCCGGGCCATCCTCCGGTAGATGAGGGCCTGGGTGAAGAATTCGCCGGCTTCATAGTACTCTCTGCCCTTCCGGGCCATCCATTCCCACCCAGGGCCCTCGGCCCATTCTTCAACGCAGGCCTCCACGACCGAGGACACCCACATCTTGCGCCCCTCGACTCTCCAACCCTCGGCGACAAAGGCCTCAACGGCCTCCTCCTGAGCCTTGGCGACAGCTAGCGCTTTGGAGTCCTCGGCCTCTTTAGCAGCTCTCCTGGCAGCGGCCTCAGCATCAGCCTTGCCTTTCTCTGCAGCCTCCAATTTCAAGCTCATCTGCCGGAGCTCCTCTTCTAGCTGGGCCCCCAGCTTCACCGCCTCTTGGTTCTTGAGGAGGCACTCCCTCATTCTGGCGTCTTGCTCCGCTCTGTGGAGGCGCCATTCTTGAAGCCTCCGAGCCTGTTCGCCGAGGGCTAAGCAAGCCTGCAGAACAACAACAAAAACAGTTAAAGGCAATCACACAAAAATAATCAAAGGAGAAGATGGAGAAAGCGAGGTAAACACTTACAGAGAGGGAGGAGCGGAGAATGTGGTCCTCGAGGGCCGCATCATTGTAGGCCCCGAGGGCAGCCCTATCCGTCTCAGGGGTCATACCCCTCAGGATGGCCCCCGGTTCGACAGCACCACTGGCCAAAGATGTACCCCTCGGGAACGCGACTATGAGGATCTCAGGCAGCGACTCCTCTGCCCCCGCCGGCGTTCCACCCGGCAGCTTCTCCACCTGCACCCCGGAGGCGGGGTGCTCGTCAGCGATAATGACCGAGGGCTCCTTCTCGGCGACATCCCCCTTTTTCGGCTTTTTGGTAGCCGGGGGGGACCCCTTGGTCACTGCCTTCCTCTTGCCGGCAGCGGCATCGCCCTCGGCTTTCTTAAAGAGGGCAGTGGCGGGCTTCTGGATGCCCTGTCCCGACCCCTTCGGGTCCTGTTTCTTCAAACGAGCAAGGCCCTTTACGTTCACCATAGAGACGGGGATACCTGCACAAAGGAGACAAAGGGTTAGTCCGACGGGTCTAAGCGAAGGGACGATAACATCCAAGCAAAAAAAAAAAAAAGACTAAGTACAAAATTCTAAAGCCCTCGGCTCCTACCTCCGGCCCCTCCGAAGGCCTTGTTGAAGGGAGGGTACTTTTCATCGGTCTCCCCTATGAAGCGGTACCTCCGGAACCCGAGGGTGTATAAATCCTCCTCGAGGGTGCAGTCTTTGATCGCCACGTTCTTGTTTTTCCCCTCCGGGAACTTGGCCAGCTTTAGGCCGTCTTTCTCGAGAGCGGCACTCCTGATCTTTTCGTGCCTTCGGAATCGGTCACGTAGCTCCCTCGGGAATGGGCTCTCATCCAACTTCACGTAGCACCAACGTTCCCTCCATCCTTTGTTGGAAGAAGGAGCATCGGAGAATAGTTTGAAGCGGGCAATCTGCTGCAGGATGACGTACCCCTCGCCGTTTTCGTGCCCCCCCGGCACAGATTAAAGCTCTGGAAGAATAGATCCAGGCTGGGTTTCACCCCTCGGGACTTGCAGAGCTGGAGGAACCCCGCAATGTAGGAGTGGCTGTTGGGCGTGAGTTGGCAGGGGACCAAGCCAACAAACCGCAAATATTCCCGGAGGAATGGGTGCAGATGGAACCTAAGTCCCATGGAAACCGAAAGGACGTGAATAGCAATACACCCCTCGGGCGCCCTGGACAACATGTCGTCGGGACCTGGCTCCACCACTTCGGCCGAGGGCCCCACGTGCAGCTGAGTCACATACAGATCTGCCATCTCGGCCTTCGACCTGATCTCGAGGGCCTCAGTGTTCAGCCAACTGTACCCCTCGGGCATGTCTACGGGCTTTCCTTGATCGACGGCCCTCTCCTTCTTCTTGGTAGCGGCCTTCTTCTTCTTCACACCGGAAACCGCCCTCAGAGGTATCGGATCCAACGGCCTCGAGCTACTGGCCTCCCCGGAACCCCGAGGGGGGAGAACAACAATCGTAACCTTCGAGCTCTCATTCTGTGCCTCATCCTCCGCTGTCTGCCAGGCGAGGGCTAAGTCTTCATCATCGCACTCCTGCTCGAAGCCCTCGGCTTCAACCTCCGCAGTGAGTTCCTTCTGGACCTCCCGGGCCAGGGCTGCATCACCACCATCCGAGGGTTGACCACTGCTTGACTCCACGTCAGAGATGCCTTCGTCCTCCATCGAGGGCGTCCTCGAGATATCTTGAGAATCACTCTGGGACGACATTCGCACTCTAGTTCGAAGGCTCGTACAACTAGTGTTATCTAAAAATGTTCTATCTCCTAGCCTAGGGGCGCAGTACAGGTAGCTAAGAGGTGAAGGGTAACTGGAGAACTGACCTTAAGAACAGAGGATTCAACCGGGGGCTGCTGTTTCTCTCTCTAGAAAAATTGGCAGAGCTTCGCTAACAAGTTTTTCGCACACAGAGGAATGCCTGGCCTTGGGGTATTTATAGGCGCTGGAATCCGGGCTTGGGCCTGGGTTCCGGGCCTCCGGACGTACCGCCATCATTACATACCGCCGTTTCACCGAACCGGTGACGCCGCCCACGAACAGCCAGCCATCACGCGCCACGTATGCCACCCCCCCAACGGCTATATCCTGTCGTTACATATTCCAACGGCTATATTTCCAACGGCTATATTCTGGAAGCCCCCGGGTTTTGCTACTTCACCCCACTTCATCAAGGATTGCCTCCGGGTGCACTCACCCAGAAGTGCCCCCGGGTTGTGCCCCACACAGCACATTACACACGCCTTCGGGATCACTCCTTCAGATCCCTAGGGCTGCATATCAGGGCACCCCTCGGGGTTTCCCCCTCAGCACTACAAAACCGGGTAGCCCCCGGGGAGTGCCTCATTGACGGATGGCCCATGGCACACAGGTAATGGGAGCCCTCGGGTATCTTCATCACCAACTCATCAACAAACAGTGGACCCCCCGGTAACAACTCCACTGCTGCCCTCATCTGGCAGGCCCTCGATCCCTGGATTGAGGGGCTCCCCTTCGGCACCACCAGGACATCAACAGCAAGCCTTCGGCTAATCAACGCAGGAGCCCTCAGAAGAGAGAGCCTTCGGCATTCCCGCCATTCTCCATTTTTTACCAAGGTTTGACATTTTCGATTCATCATTGGGGGAATTCGGTGCACTCTTTTTCCCTCATTAGGATTTTTTCCCAAAGGGTTTTTCCTAATGAGGTTTTTAACGAGGCATCCCCCCAAAATGAAACGAAAAGCGTTAGCCTTCGGCCCACAACAGCAACGTAACTACTTTACTCCTTTTCACCACTTTACAAGTGCCTCAAGGAGTGGGGGACTGGAGGACCCCCTCGGGAAAATCATTAAATTACAAAATCTGTGAAATTCCAACAAACAACAAAGCAAGCCCTCAAGTCCCGACATGTGGGTAACTGAGGGACTGCCTTCGGCAGGGACATAAAAGCAACAACTCCTCACCAACTTTAGAGATCACGACAGGACAACATCAGAAGGCAAGCACAAATTACTCCTTTTCCCTCAAGTACCTTTCGGCAAAAGGAGTGAGGGACTCCTGATGGAGTATATGGCCCGGGAACCCCCGGCCCACAGACTCCTACTACTCCAGCAAAGGCCCAACAGGCCCAACAGGCCCAAATCACAGCGCCCAGAGTACCAAGCAGTCCGCACAACGCACAGGGGCTCCTTCGGCCCCCTGGCCGAAGGCTCCAAATTATCACAGAGCGGGTTTCTCAAGCAAACTAAGAAACTGGGAGAAAACGGCGAAAACAGTAGCCCCCGGTACTATGAGCCTTCGGCACCAAGGTGCCCTCGGTTGGAGGAGCCTTCGGCTACTGCTCTTTGGCCGAAGGCATCTCACTCGACAAGTTATCCGCCTCACATGCGTACAGATCACCGTACTCTGCACAGACGTCCCATCCAACAGCCGCATTAAATGCGGCCACATGCGACTGCCAGCGCCAACCAGTTGAGGCGACCCCTCGGCCAATGGGCGCTTGACACGTGTCCCTGCCCGGCATTTATTGCTACTATAAATAGCACCCTATTTCCCCATTTGTAACCACGCTGAAAACGCTTAACACACTGAATATACTCCCTCTCTACTTTCATCTACTTGCTCTGACTTCTCTCTAGATTACTTCCCGCAATAACCCTTCGGATATATACCCCCGGGTAGACTATCCATCAATATATATAATAAATAACTTTGCAAACTCACAATTTATTCATACCTTTCCAATATCATGATTTTCAGAGTATGATATTATTTCCCACATGAATCTCATGACATAATATCCACATTCAGTACTTCCGGTTTGTTGTGCAACCTGTATAGTTCACATCACACGTATAATAAATCAAAATTCCATTTCAAGATTACTTTCCTAAGATTAATTGTAGGATAGAAAGGATGTAACATACCTTCACACTATTCCATTTAATTGGCTTACCGCTACCTTTTTGTGCAGATGCAACCCTGTACATTCTACAAATTCAAATGAAGCGCCTCTGAATAACATTTTTCCACTATCATGAAAAGAAATGTAGGTTGGACTACAAACGAAATGCATCAAATAAAAATAGCTCGAAATGGTTATTACCACAAAAGTATATCCATTTTAAAAAAATCATATCAACAAATCTGCTTGCACTGTGACGAGCACTTTGTCATAGTGCGTCAAAATAAATTCAATACTAAACACTTATACGTAGTATAGCGTAGTAGAGTTCGTATCCACAGGGAAAGGAATGATTCTCTTTTTATGAAACTAGTAATTAAAAAGGGGTTTTTTGATTTTGAATGATTTAATTTAATTAAGAAACTAAGATGAACAACCTATATGTGTTTAATTCAAGAATAAAAGGGACTTGACTTTGCTACTTTCCACTTGTTGATATATTTTAGTCAATCCTTGTTATATCTATAACTTATCCCCTCTCGAATACTCAATCGAGGAGTATCTCCAATTCATCGAGGGTATTTATTAACAACGACCGTTCATTAATAACTCTTACTATTAATCAAATATAGAACAACACCGTATACCGATATAATAGTAGCATTCAATCTTTTTAACTCCTTGATGAAATCAATAGAGATTGATAACCTTAAGACAACGGTTTCGGTTTAACCAACAAAATTGATCCCTCTTAAGTCTATTAACCACGACCGTGCATTAATAAATCGAAGTTACTTACTTGTGAAACCACCAACGATTGACCATCGGTTCGTTGATCGTTTATAGTAGTAATTAATGTCGGAACGTTAACTAATCGTGACTTAGCAACCCTCCAACATTAATATAGAATGAGATTAAGGGAAGAATTAATAATCAAGAGAAGAAGTTAAGAAAATAACTCACAACTTTAATAATCAACAAGCTTCAAGAGCAAAACCAAGAATGGAAGTTTAGCTCCTCATTTAGAGACTAAACATAGCTAGAAAAATATAAAGAAATGCTATTCTAAACTGAGCTTAAGAGTATGGAAGAAGGAATCATTAAAAGTGAAGGAAAAGTGTGCTATTTATAGGTGTTTTCAACACCCTGGGGCGGATACCCGACCGGGTAAAGTGCCATACCCGACCGGGTATCAGTCAAAATCAAATATTTGCCACGT